GGGTGCTCAGCCTCAGTACATGTGTGTTCAGGTTACAAGAAGGATGGATGCTAGCCTAGTTGCTCCAGCACGTGCCCACAGGCGAGCTTCGCCTTTGATTGTGCGAGCTAGATCGTCGTTCGTCGTTCGAAGGCCGGGCATTATCAAACACAGCGGCATTCTGGTGCTTCCAGATGGACCAGGCGGTGAGCACGATGAACGAGTTCGTCCCCTTGCGGACGAGGGGTGGAGAGAAGTTGTTGTGACTTGAGATGGACTCAGATGTTCCCAAACATCGGGATCGTCAACCTGGAGTTCAGTCAGTCTGATCAGAGGCCTTTATTGATTTGTACAAAGCACCACAATTTGGCAAGTACCGGTGCACCGTCCCAAAAAAAATTTGAAGTCCATTGGCTGGAAGAATATGGATTCGGGGATCGAGTACATCAGGCATGGGCCGACGCATATGTTCGTGCTGATGGAGGAGTGATCTCAAAACTGTCATACATGCATGTTGAATTCCATGAACGGGGTTAGTGAGTACCGAAGAAACACAAGAAGAGATTACATAGAGCCTAGAAGGAACTCGACAAGGTGATGAGTGGTGCAATGAATGTTGAATCCAAGGTAAAAACAAAAGAATTGGCACAACCTGTTGACTACTTACTTGAGCTTGAAGAAATCCAACACATGCAACGATCCCACGTAAATTGGTTCCATAATGGTGATGACAACACCCAATTTTTTGACCTGTTTGCTAGAACAGAAGGAAGAGGAATAGAACAACCCGCCTAAAAATAATCAAGGCTGGTGGGTAGTTTTAATCCAATGATTCAATCTTATTTTTAATGACATGCTTTCCTCTAAGGTTCATGGTACACATCTGGTTGTCCTGGAGGAAGTCCAAAGACGTGTAAAGGACCATATGAATGGCGCACAGTTGACTACTTAGACAACTGATGATGTGAAGAATGTTGTCCACAGTGTCGGGGATCTCAAGGCCCCGGAGCTGGATGGTCTTCATGCCATCTTTTACAAAAAGATATTGGCACATCCTCGGTGAGGAGATTGATACGTCTCTGTCGTATCTACTTTTCCTAATGCCTTTTCTCTTGTTTTGGACTCTAATTTGCATGATTTGAATGAAACTAACCCGGAG